TGAGGTAAGGTTCCACGAGGTTCCACCAATTTCTTCGAGGGCTGCGGATTTGAGGAAGGTTTCACGAGGGTTCCGCCAGGGTTCCACCAGGGTTCCAGGCTGCGAGGTGGTCTGGGTGGTTTGAGGTAAGGTTCCACGAGGGTTCCACCAGGGCTGCAGGGTGGTTTGAGGAAGGTTTCACGAGGGTTCCGGGTTCCACCAGGGTTCCAGGCTGCGGGGTTGTCTGGGTGGTTTGAGGTAAGGTTCCACGAGGGTTCCACCAGGGCTGCAGGGTGGTCCGGGGTGGTTTGAGGTAAGGTTCCACGAGGGTTCCACCAGGGTTGCACCAGGGTTCCACCAGCCCGTCGTGCTCCGGACGAGGGTTCCACCAGGGTTCCACCAAGTTCTTCGAGGGTGCGGCGTGGTCCGGGCAAGGTTCCACGAGGGTTCCACCAGGGTTTCACTAGGGTTCCACCAGCGGTCCGGGCTGGTTTGAGGTAATGTTCCATGAGAATTCCACCAGAATTCCACCAGGTTTTGCAAGGTAAGGTTCCATTCCAGCACAGGTCTAGCAGGGTCCCACGAGGTTCTGCGAGGGCTGCGTTTCAGGGTTCCACAAGATTCTGCGAGGGCTGTGGGCCCTGAGGTTTCACAGGGTTCCACAAAGCTCTGCAAGGATTCCACACGGGTTCCACAAGGCTCCACAATGCTCCACCAAGGGTGTGTCGTGCGCCCGTCGTCTGAAAAGCCATCGGATCAAGATCGCTTTGCTCATGGGCGGAACACTAAGCAAAACCGAAATCAATGGTTTTTAGCACAATTTCACTGTTTTGTGACTTGCTCACTTGCTCAGGCAAATTGTTGGCTTTGTGGCAAATCAGATCACGTCGCTGCGGAACTCACGGTGCAGCAGAGTAAATGCTTGGCATTGCTGCTTGGTGGGCTTTGGGTTCCAAGAATTCCACGAGGCTGCGAGGGCTATGAGGTCAAACACCAAATTCTGCAAAAGCTATGCGGCAGCCCTGAGGAAAGGTTCCAGCAAAGTTTCACGCTGAGCTCCACGAAAGTTGCGTGAGAACGGTTTGCGAGGTTCACCGGGTAGGTCGGGGCCCGATTGCACTGTCGGGGCCTTTGGGCCCGATCGGATTGCGCCATCGCGCCCCGATCGGGGCCCAACTCAGTCGGGCCCCGTCAATTGTACCAAGCTGGCATCGCCTAGTTTTGCTATAGATACAGTTGCAATCCGCATACTAAGGAAAACCGGCGTTGAGCTATAATATGGGTGGCTGGGGTTGCACCACGGGACGATCGGGGCCCGATTGCACCGTCGGGCCCCGATTGCACCGTCGGGCCCCGATCGGGCCCGACTCAGTCGGGCCCCGTCAATTGTACCAAGCTGGCATCGCCTAGTTTTGCTATCTAGATATAGTTGCCTTCCGCATGCCAAGGCTCACCGGCGTTGAGCTATATTATGGGTGGCTGGGGTTGCACCACGGGACGATGGGGCCCGATTGCACCGTCGGGCCCCGATCGGGCCCCGATTGCACCGTCGGGCCCCGATCGGGACCCGATTGCGCCGTCGGGCCCAGATCAGGGCGAGATTGCGCTGTCACTCGTAGCTTTGCTTTACAAGGCGGCATCCTCAGCAACACCGGCGGTAAGGATGGTCCCGGGGCGTTTCTGGGAGTTATTTGTTCTCTTTTTCCCCAACAGCTGAAGGGTTCCACCAGGGTTCCACCAGGGTTCCACATGCTGTTGGGGATATCACCTGAGCTTATTGTTTTTTGTTTGTGTGTGTTTTTTTGCTTGATAGTTGTGTTTTGTTTGTTTGTTTTGTTTTCGGGTACGGTTTATTTGATGCGATGACTTTGTGGCAGGGTACCCTTGGCTAACTGTTTTGGGACGTTCTTGGAAAGGGCTCCTATCATAAAGAACACGACATGAACATGGACTGAAAGATTTCTGTATTTGGGTTGCATCATCGAGGGAAGTTGGGCCAATGGCGCGAAAGAGTGGAACCAGCAGCCTTCGTGCTTCTTTTTGTTTACGGGTATGTCCTATTTGAGGCAAATGACTTGGGGGGGGGTACCCGTGGCTGATTGTTTTAGGATGTTTTGTGCGACGGTTGTAAAACACAGAAATCAGCACGACAATGGACACCCAAAAAGCGTGTTTTTGTTGGTTTCTGGAATGTGTTTTTGTTTAAGGGGCAGCAGAGCTGCTACCTGGATTCTCAGCAAAGGCATTTTAAGCAGTGGGACTTATAGGGGGTGCAGCTTCATGTTTCAGGCAAACTTCTAAGAGCCAAAACTCTAACTCTGAAGGACAACAACCTCATGAAGTTGTTGGTGTTGTTGTCCTTGTGTTTTTTGTCACCCCCTTGATCAGGATATATGTTCGATTTCGTACTGGTTTGACAGTGTTTGTTTTTACCGAGACGGGATCCCTTGGTACCGAAATGATTTGTGCATTTGAGTTGAATTTTAATTTACAATTTCCCGAATGGCAGCCCAAGACTGCGGGGTACCAGGGTTAGGAGTTAGGATGAGTTGTTTGGATGTTCAACCAACTGAGTAAGTAGGTTACAACCATGGTTATAATGGCACCAAGCCCAGTTAACCTGATTATAGCCACGCTGATAACATGTTTACTAAGTTGATTGAACATCCGAGTAGGAGTGTTTTGAAGACATACGCCCGGGCAGATGCATTTTTGAAGTCGTTTTCTAGCGGCCCCCAGCTCCAGCCACGGCGACCGAGGCTCCCTCGTGAGCGGCGTGAAAGGCGCGTGAAGAAAACGACCGCGGCCTTGGGTTGCAAAAGGAAGGCGAGCTCAGCGATTTGGGGGAATTGAGCTTGCCATGACTTGCTTGCCCAAATCGAATCGACCATTTACCCTTTTGGTTTTCCCATGTTGGCAACCATGTTTAGTCCTGGCCCCAAAAGGTTAACCTTTAGTCCTTGGGCTGACATGAAGGTCCATTACTTGGGGATCCATCTCTGATTTCAGGTATTTTGGGCTTATAATAGGTGCAGATTGGGAGGTGCTTGGTGGGCCCCCTCAATCTGGAGTCGGCATCAAGAGGGTTGTCCTGTCCTCTTGCTTCCTTTCTGGTCAATGGTTCCCAACTGAGATCCATCGATCCCAAGGGAAGATGCCCAACAAGCACAAGGGAAGGTCTAGTCCCACTTGCATGTTCGGCCAAGGTAGGAAGTGGTTAGCCATCTGGGTTGTAACCCACCAATAAACCAATGACAAGGTTCACTGCACTTAGGAGGACTTACAAAGCGGGCTATGACTTGGCTACTAACAACTTACCAACTTGGCCGATCACCCAAGCAGTTGGGGTTTCCCGCTTCTTCTGTTTCGGTGGGGATAGGAATTAGGGGGGGTATTGCTCAACGCATGGTCGTATGAGTCCAAATAGGGGGAACCCCAAAATGTTGTTTTTTGTTGTTGTTCCGTTTCCTGCAAACTAACTTGAAAGGGCAATGCTGACCCCGTATTAATCAACCCCAGTTTATTAATGTGTCCCTGGGTGAAATGTGGGGAATGATCACATTTGGAGCGGTCAAAAAGCCACCCCCTATTAGTCAACTTGTTGATTCTTGAATATGGGATCAACACTGGCAACCCAACAGTGAAGCTATACCCATGGTTCCTTGGGAAATTGGTTGGTTGGTCCCCTGAAAAAAACCATGGTTACGATCGACTCATTAAGCAACCTGGACCTCCAAAGGACCGATTCCCTATTTCTGCCTTTGTACCGCTTTTTTATGGGTCATTTCGGCCGGAAAAAGGGATCGGTCCTTTGGGTCCAGGAACTCAAATTCCCAGGGCAGCCCATTTTGGGGTTACCCGACTTCAAACAGACAGCTGCTTGAACTTGATCAAGGGCTGAAGGATCTCTCTGCTGCTAGTTGTTCCCAGTTGCCCAGTGGTGCCCGTGTTGCTCCTTGTTTGGGGGGAGGGGTTGCCCATTAAAGTCAACCAACTAAGAAAGGATGCCCTCTTCTGGGCATCTGAGTGTTTGGCTTTGAAGCCGTGATTAATATCCAGGTATCTTGTTTGCGGGGGGGTCTTAGAAACCCTATTTACAGCGTTTCACGTGCAATCTGAACCAGTACCCTCTTGGTTTTCCCACTGGCAATATGGTCGGTTGTTCATCCACGGGTGAAGTCCAGCTACTGCCTTCAAACTGAATCCGAAGGCCCACTAGTCTCAGTTGCCCAAAGCCAACCTTTTGACCTTTTGGTTTTCCTGTTTTGGTCCATATTTAGTCATTGCCCCAAAAGGTTAACCTTTTAGTCCCACGTCCTTTGGGCAACTGAGTAGTTGCATCGCTTCATGCAGCTTCAGGAATCAGGTGCGCCAAACCGGATAAAATGGGATCGTCTCTCGCAAATGGGGCAGGCGCGCTGGCGCCCCCTTATGCAGCCTCCAGGTTCTTCTGAATTCAAGGTTTGCCTCTTCACGACCTTTGCCTCTTCACGACCTCGAAGTGATTGAAGAACTGTACAAAACCCCACCACCATGTAGACACTATCCGTTTAAAAAGCTGGATTTGGGGGAGGGGGCCACCCCCTTGAAATGTGATTTACGCTTCCGTTCTTCCCTTTAAATGTCAAGAAAACTAGACAAGGGGAATTGGGACTAGAGACTCTCTGTCACTACCCTTTCAATCGCATGGATGGTGTCTGTCGACCTATTGTCAAAATTGTGGGTATGGGTCGAAATTAAACCACCAAGGGACCGCAGGCTTTAGTCCTTGCTTTCTATTTGCCAGCGCCAGCCGTTTGGGGGTTATTGTATTTCGACAACCACACCCAATAACATGTCTGGCGACTAAAAAGCATGCAAAGTCAACCATGTAAATTGTTTCACATGTGTTTTGTATTTGCTTTTTCTGTGGTTCCCAGGTTTAACGCGTTCTTGTTCTGGGGTCCCCCGCAAAAAAAAACTGGTAGCATGTCTTCTTCCAGGGCTCTGAGAAAACGCGGGTATACGGAGCACCTCGTGCCATGGCGCTGTGGGCGCCGGCTTCGCCGCCAACGGTTTTGGCGCCGGTGCCGCCGAGCTTTCGCGGCAGAAGTGCGGAGCTGTCGCGCCGCCGCGCGGAGCCTCGCTGGCAGTGCGAAATGTTTTGCCCGTTCAGAAGAGGTTCTCATTTGCGGATTTCCTGCACTTCATCTTTTTGGGGAAGACCACTAAGAATCTTCACAACTAAAGGCAGGCAAGAATCCTTGAACTCCAGTTCTTCGCTTGTCTCCACACCCGCCTCCAAACTCCAATTTCCAGTTGTCCTTTAAGGCCGCAGTTCTGAGCAACCACAGCGCTTTCTTCCCGTTTCAAGTCAGGCAACAACTGCCGCGGCTGCGGGCGTGCTCATCCGCGGGAGTAGTACGCGGAGGTGTCGAGCGCCAGGGGCTGGCGGTTACCAGTCGAGTTGGCAATTGTTCAAGTCTTTGCTGGTTTGTTTCCTCATTTTTGCGGCCGCAAGGAAACTTTTTTCGGTGTTTGTGCTTTTTCTGGCCAGTCAACTTTGTCCAGGATGTCCAGGTGGGTTCCTGAGTATTCGTCTGTGGCCAGTCCACATTTCACCATTTCTTCTGGAAACAAAGGACACATTTTTTTATCCAAGGTTTTCTAGTCACAATTTCTGGACATGTTTCCTGGTGGTTTTCTTCATCATTTCTCGCCAAGGGCCAACAGCATGGCTCGTTTTTTTTTGTGGCCGAACCCAGGTCAGGATGCTCCAAGCGAATGCTTCGAGGTGTGTCCGTTGGAAGGGAAAGGTCTGGGGGTGCTGGCCCGGAGGGAGATCCAGGCTGGCGAGCTCATCGTTGCTCGCTTACCATACTGGACTTGTTGGTTTTGTTTTGTCTTGTTTGTTTTGTTCTTTGCTAAGCGAACACAAAAATAAGTTGTTGTTTTTGTTTGGCGAGTTGTTTGTGCTTGCATTTCGGTCTGTTGTGTTGATATCCCTCTAAAAGTCTACCTGGACCCCGGACTTTTTCTTCTTCTTTTTTTTGCGAGGGTGTGTTTCCTTGGCGGTTCCCAGCCGTCCAACTCCTTAGTTTTTTTTCCCGGTTTGTAGGGCTTGGTGGCGTCCATTTAACCTACTAAAAGTGAAGGTCTTAGCAGGGGATATGAAGACAGCCCAGTTACTTGTTACATTTCGATATGTTTGGTTCCTATCCCTCAAGTCTACCTGGACCCTCACCCTACCCCAACAATATTTTATGTTTCTCAAATTTATGGGGTGTCAACATGTTGAAGAGGCAGTTCAGGAAGTCCAGGTAACTTTTAAGCAAGGGCTTCTTGGTGGCTCCCAGCCATCCGGTTCCTTACCTTTGTAGCCTTGTAGTGTTTAGTTGGGTTTTCCATTTAGCCCACTAAAAGTTAAACTTTTAGCGACTTCCATTTGCTTAAGAATATTCTTTTATTTTCCCTGGTTGTCTTCAAAGGAATTTATCCACTACTGGATTTTTTTTTCAGGGGTCTTCACCAACTGGAAGCAAGCCTCTCAGGTTTCTGAAAAGCCCTTGCTGTTGCTGCCCTATGAGCATTTGGCTTCGCAGACGGACGCGGATGTGGAGCGCTTGTTGGATGAGTTGCCCAACGAGCAGCAGGCGAGCCAGGATCAAAATCCGCGCGGATGGGAGCAAGGGACGATCCCAAACCATACCGTGGATGGACGAAATTTGTTGCGCACCACCTTTGAAAAAACCATGGCTGAAACCGTTGTATTGTTTGTTCGGTATTTACAAGGGAATCAGCAATCCAGGGTTTCTTAGGTGGTGCAGGATTTCGCCCATCCGCAGTAGGTGCGCATGTCCGCATTTCAATCCTTTACCAAAGGTTTTTTGGGTATACCATTCTACTACCAGGTTTTGAATGGCCCAGTTCTTTCTGTTGCCGCTATACTAGGCAACCAGGGTTTCTTACCTCGGCTTATATACATGATGGCTGTACCTGGTTACCTGTTATATTGGAAACCAGCAGCCCTGAGGCCTTAAAGGTCCCTTGTGACCCCTTTCCGTTTGGGTACATCCGCTCTGAGGGATTTTTGGGTACACCATTGCTTTGGCGCAGTTTGCTTGGATGTTCGGACTCTAACTTTTTGCCAACTCATGTGTTTTCCATTAAACCACTAAAAGTAAACTTTTAGCAGAAGAGCAAAACGCAACCGAGTAAAGGAATCCCCTTCCGGTTTATTCTCAAACCCTGGGTCATTCCCTACCGAGCACCAGGAAGTGTTTGTTTGTTTGTTTGTTTGTTTGTTTGTTTGTTGGGTTTTGATAACTCAGGAGCACTTCTGGGCACTCTTTGATGCCCAGCTGTTTGACGCCGAGCGGTCGGCGAAGAGCAGAGTGCTGACCAATAGTTATCCCGTTGCTCGGATATGCAACGACCTTACTCCCCGAGTTCACGGACTTTAGTCGATTTTTTTGGGCTTGGTTGCCATTTTAGAAAACCAACATTTGGACTTTTCGCTGCTCAGTTTATAGCAAACAGGGATGTTCTACAGATTAGCAGAATATCCACCAAAAACGTTGATGTCCTGTAGTAGTAGCTGGTTTCTTGGATCAGTTACCCAAAACTCGGACCTTTTGCCATGGTGGAGTGAGTGCTAAGCAGCGACCGTATTGCTTCAACAGACTCAGTTGTCCAAACCCGACCTTTTCACCGTTTGTTGTTTTTGCCTTTTGGTCAATTTTCAATCAAGCTTGCAAACGTATTTTATTGTCCAGGTTCTTTGGAGTGAGGTTGAGGATGATTCGGGCAACACGTCAGCTGCGGTGTTCAACGTGGCTTGGTTTTTCAAAGTCATGGCTTGCCCTCGAGTTCTCAACTACATAGTCTTTTCTTTTGCAGGGGTTTACTTCGACCACCCCAGGTGATTGCTCGGTTCAATCACAGCTGCGTGCCCAACGTGCACAACAGCTGGAACGCCGGCAGTGGGTTGGAATCCCTCTTTGCCGTGAGGCGCATCGAGCAGGGGGAGGAACTTTGCACCTCATATCTGGACCTGTACAAGGTTCGCGCAGATCGGCAGCAGGAGTTGTCCAGAAAGTTGAAGTTTCAGTGCACCTGTGACTCACTTGCCCTTAGCTCGCGCTCGCGTCGAGCGGAGGTAGCCTTTGCTTTTTCCAATGGGATCCCATGTTTAGTGGCCGAAACGGTGCTCAACTTAAACTAGGCAGCTGAGGTGAGGCGTGTACTTTGACCGGGAAGGACAGAGACGCCAGCGATGCGAGCCGCCAGAGGTTGTGGCGACTGTCTCAAGAGCTGGAGGCTTCTCCTGAGGAGAAGTTGGCTGACATGGTGGAGGACTAGCTGCGTGTGCCCAATGTGTTTGAGACACACACACACACACAACGACCTCACTCCGAGAGATGTTTGTGGACTGAAGCGTTTGGTTGCCATTTTTAGTGGTAAACCCAAAGTTCCAGGACTTAGATTGTCCAATCCACTCAGAAGTTGAGTACGTTTTTTGTTTGCTTCTTCCTCACACTCTTGTGTGTTTTTGTTTTGTCGTCGTCCGCGCCACTCGCTCCTCTTTGCGCCTCCTCGTGACTTGCTCGATTGCGTGACAGGCGCAGTAATTTCGGAGCGGCCGGCTTGGGCGGCGGGTCTGTTTGCGTGGCAGTTTGTGCATCCTCATGCTGGCTTTCCTTTCTTTTGGTTTCCCACAATCCCGAAAAAGTGTATCCTCAATGCACCCATATATATATATATGTACAAGTCTCCATGACCCTTTCAACACGGGGTCATGACCCCTTATTTTGGGCAGACGAGCCCATGTTTAAAAGGGTGAGGAAGACTTCAGTGCTGCCAGGTACCCAAATGGAAGTTAAAAGGGGCATCGATAAGTTGTTGTTTTTTCCTCAAGCTCAGAATCTCAGCCCTTCTTTTTTGTGGCGGGGGGGGGGCGAAAGTGGATGGCGACGCCTGGGCACCGGCTCAAACCTTTTAACATTGCGGATATCAAACCTCGCGTTTCAAACCCCCCTGCTTGATCACACGGTGGAGGAAGTGGCCGATTTGGTCGAGCTCGAGCTGCGGGGGAATCCTGCCCTGAAATGCCGCGCCTTCACTGCTCCTTGCCTGTCCGTACCCCACTTTTTTCATTTTCATTTCTGCGCAACAAACTTCCTCATTACCAAACTGGCTGGGTGTCCAACAAACTTGAAGCTTCCAAACTGGTCAATGCATACCTTTTCCGCGCAGGAATTTGGATTCTAGCGCAAATCACATTTTTTGTTGCATCCTCTTTGCCCCTTCTTGGATGTTCAACCAACATCAGGTAAATAGGTGAGAACCTTATTTAAAAGTGGACCCAACCAGTTACCCCAATTGTAGCCATGGTCACCAACTACCTGAACCCCCAATGGACCCTTTTCTTGCTTTTGGCCCCGGAGGTCCCGCGCCGAGGAAGGCTGGTTATAATCCACACGGAGACTGATCACCATGGCTTTTGGGTTATATCCATGGTTGCCTCGATCCCCTTCAAGTAGTTCAACGCGCCTCCACGTTGCCCCCCCCCCCCCGTCTCACCGGCTCGCTCGCGAGGCTGGCTTCGAAGCTGCGGCGCAACTCGGGGACTTGCCGCTGGCGGAGGACATGGCGCAGCGGGCCTTGGACCAGGCGACGCGACGGACGTGAAGTCGTTGACGTCGCAGACTCGCGGCCAGCAGGTTTTTGGGACGAAGGGGTTCTCCCCGTTTCAGAGACCTTCATGATTGGGTTAGGAATTTCCCCCGCTTGCTTTCTGTTGTGGAATCTATCACTACTCCTTTGGCTAAGACTGGTTCATTTCCCGCCTGTTGGTTTTTAGAGGGAATCGATTTCGCTGGACAATTTCTCCGATATTTTCCAGGGGACTTCAGCAAATGGAGGATACCCAGCGAGCTCACTGAAGAGTCACTTTAGAGGGTTTGGTTGCTATTTTAGTGGTAAACCCTTTTTGGCGGTGAATCCATTCAGGAATTGAGGAAACGACGGATCTGGGGGAGTCGAAGGGCGTGGAAGGGAACGGGCGGAGTTTGAATCGGAGACTCAGCAACTGAGTCCCTGAGTTCCTGGACTTGTCACTCTTTGGGCTTGGACATGTAGCGATAGATCAAAAGGTTGGAAGGTTGTTTTGGCCAATGATCTTAAGAATCGGGGCAAAGCGTTGGACAATCGAAATGTCCCTTTTGGTCAGGCAGAAAAAATGTAGCCGGGCTCTCAAGCTAGCTGGTAGTCTGGGGTCGAGGTAGCCCGCTGGATGCCAGCTCAGCATCGCAAGTAGAGCAGCCATGCTGGGAAAACATGAGAAAAACAAAAAAAAACAAAAGGAAGAGGCATGCTTAAGCAAATGTATGACTTTAGTCAATCCAATTATCATGCCTTCACTTCCTGTGGTTGTTTCAATTGTGCTCAGGGAATGAGTGAGCCCAAAGCTCATTGGGTACTAAGAATGTACGAGATACCAAGGGACTTTTGAGAAGGAGCGTACGCGAGGATGCCTTCCGATTCCGGGATCCTCGCAGAATTTGGAGCATTCACCTGGATGTTCAGCAAACTTAGTAGGTTAGGACCATGGTTGCAACTGAGTACGGTAACTGTGGTTGGTCCCATTGTCACTGTGGTTATACCCTACTTGCCAAGTTGGTTTAAGGTGCCAGCGTCCACCCGCTTTTATTTGGAATGAACGGGTCCCTGGGGCCCTCGTCTAAAAATGATCATTCGAAGGGTTCCGCTCCCTGGCTTCTTTTTTGACCTGTGGATCACTGGTGGTAGATGAAGAATGGTGTCTGTCTGTGAATCTCTCTCCATACCCATTTCGTGGGGCAGTCGCTCATGTATGCGCATCATTACTACCTACTATATATACATATTAATACATATATATATATATACCTGTTAATGGCCATATGTATGTGTGGTTTTGTTATATATACATATATGTATATATATATATATATATATATGCACCCCCCCCCCCCCATGCACCCTGGTTTTACTGCCTTTTGGGGATGGTAAGTCTAGAGTATCATCTATACATATATATATATATGGTACCCCCCCCATGGACCCTGGTGCCTAGGTCTTGCTTGATTTCAGCGCGCAGGCTGTAGAGTTTAGTTTTTTTTGCAATATATTGTCAGCACAGACGAATGGGCTTGCAGTCCATCATGGCAAGATCCGACATGTCCCAATATGATACCCTTTCCAAATAGGATTTTACTTCAACTAGAATTGGAATTTTGAATATAATTTGTTTAGGATATAGTTTCCAAAATGTGTTTATGTTCAACATTGTCAACTATAGCTTATACAAGCAAATCCTTTCCAAATGGGATCTACATGAGAATATACGTATAGTCTCGGGCAAACTCCAACTAATCTTCAACAAAATAAGTTAGGAGTTTATTCCCAAATATAATCTAAGTGTTAGATATAATCTAATACGAACACAACTCAATTAGCTCAAATTTAGTTCATGTTGAATATGCCGTTCCTGCCGACGCACCGTCGTGGTAGTTCTGACATTGCCTCTTGCGGCCATTCATGCATAACTAAGCAAGACCACGCAATGCCAAGCGCTGCAATCTGTCCTGCCAACTTTCGGCAATCGGGCATCAGTATGCCAAATGCAGCACAAAGCAACCAAGCATCACACCTCATCATCCAAAGCAAACGCAAGGCAAGCAGCATCCACTTCCAAACCTTCCCACCCGTGGGCTTTTTTTGGAGCGGCAGCGCTCAGCTCTGGCGCAGGTCTTGCTGGTGGAAGGGCCCTCTCCGCGGGCGCAGATGCTGCAGCAGTGCGTGGAGCTCTTCGGGGGCTGAGGCGGAAAAAAACTGCGGACCCCACAGTCAGGGTTTCGGCCATGGGTATGGTTTCCAAGGTTATGGCATCGCACAGCCACGGTGTAAGGTCCCTAAGGCCTCAAATCAAAGGTCACAGGGACCCCTTTTGGTCTGGGTAATTACACCCGCTCTGAGGGACCCTTGGGGACACCATTGCTTTGGTGCATTGCCAACTCATGCTTTTGTTTTCCCTATTAAAACCACTAAAAGTTAAACTTTTGGCTGGGGAGCAGAAAGCAACCGAGTAATGGCATCGCGCAGCCAGGGTGTAAATTCCCACGTTATGGTTTCAACTCCATGGTTTCATTTTTCCATATGCGTGGGGCAGGGTACATACTTGGGCCACCAGTGGGGTACATAGGTGTGGTTGGACGAAATCCATTGTGCACCGCCTAAGAAATCCTGGAATGAGGTGATTCCCCTGTGAATTCTAACAATGGTTTCAGCTCCATGGTTTCATTTTGTGGTGCGAAATGGATTTCGTCCATCAGTAGGTGTCCTGTTGATCAGGTAGTTTGACTGGCTTACATTGGTTTTATGCCCCGTTTGCCAGTGCCATCTAGTTTTCTCAAAAGGCCACCTTTGCATCGCTCCCTCGTCGAAACACCCAAAGCGAATCCACCGGATCTAACCTTGTGGTTTTTCCTTTGTGGGTGCTCATTTTTAGGGGCAAGCCGAACGGTGATCATCTTTTATTTCAGGGTTCGCGAGGGAAAAGTGAGTCCTCCCTGCACCTTAAATTGCCAGTTTCTCAATTTCTGAGTTCCGGGGCTCCGACTTGAGTTACTTCTAGGGAAGCGAGGGAAGACCATTCGAGTGGCAAACAACAAATGTGGTTTCTTTTCATGCCAACCCACTCACGAAGTGAGTCACAGAAAATGGCCCAAACACTTATGCGTGTGTGTGGTTTTTGAGGAACTGTTTTGAGGGCCATCCACTCAAGTGATATCTGCAGAAATACCTCACGCCTGGCTCATGGCCGGCAAGTCCAAACTTTTTGGATTTTTCAAGTATCCCAAGGAAAGATTGGTTCCAGGGGGTGATTCCCCATTCTTTTCAAGCATCGTTCTTTTCAAGAACCAGCAGTTGTCCCTGCGTTTCCGGAGGTTTTATAGAAAGAAGGACCCCCAAAAAGAATAAACAAGTACCCCTGCATTGGTGAGTCACAATCATATTGCATGGTGCCTTGTGGATTTCCCACCCATTTCCTGGTTGAGATCTTCATAGTGCTAACTGTATCGGTGGGTCGGGTATGCTGACTGATTCTTCGCTTTTGCTGAAAAGGTGGTTTGAGGATTTGAACCCCTGGTTCTTGTAGACAGTAAAAAGGAATCCACCCCGAACCACCAAACTGCTGGCCACCAGGTTAGTGATAAGCTCGAGCAAGACTTGCTTGGATAGACCCAGGGTGTTGGGAATGAATTTGTGGGGGGTCATTCCCTCATTATCTGCAGAGAACCGGCAAGAAAAGGAGTAGAAAGCGGGGCCAATTGAAACTGCCACTGTTTGGAGGGGACGTTCAGGCCATGGCAGTTCCAGGAAAGGATGCATGCCGGAAGAGGCATTTTCGACTACCACCCCACCCCACCCAGCACCCCCCCCCAAGAAAAAAGAAGGCAAACCAAATGAATAGATAGATACAAAATCAAGTTCCAGAACCCGGTTAGAGGGTTCCAAGACCCTATCTCTCACGTCTCTCAAACGTTGAAACCGGGCCTTCAGTGTTCCGGATCGCCGCGTTGGATCCGCGCGCGCCGCGACGCTTCGCCTCGAGCGCCACGCCTCGCCGTTTTCGCCATGACGCTGCCATCCTGGGCCCTTGACTATCCAGCGCTGGAGGCCAGATTCGGGTGGAAGGTGGGAGAATCTCGCGAGCAACTTCCAAAGGTTGTGGTTCTCCTGTTGGGTTCCTTGAAAAACCGCCCCCAAAAAATGGGTACCCTGAAAAAAGACAGACTCCATTTGGTACAGCAGCCTTTCTTTTTGGTTATGGGCCCATTTTCATACCAATCGGTCTTGAGGTAACCCAGACCTACGCGATTTGTCTGGTTGGAATCCATCCAAAGCCAGTTCCCTCAAAAACTCTTCAGAGTAGCTTGCTTCCTTTCTTCTTTGTATTTTTTCTGTTTCGGGAGACCGTTTACACTCCACCAAACAAGTGTGCCAGTTTTTGTCCAAATGGACATCTACTGGGGGCTGGGAAACTCATTGCGCCGACTCTAGTCACTTCTCGGGAAGGTCTTTCAGTGGCAAAGACAAAGTTAGGACTTCCAATCAGGAAGGGAGACAAAGGTGAAGCCTCGACGTTCTCATGAGGTCTCTTAAAATGCCTGGATGGTACTTCTGAAACACAGGGAATCATATGTAAATGGAACGTAAATGTGCGGTGGACACTCTACATGTTGCAAGGAAGGGAACCAAGGAACATCCTGGAATTTTCCGCAACTTGCCACTGCTTTGCGGCATCCATCGTATGCCCCGGTGTTATCCATTTCCCCATGGCATGGTTTTCAGGCTAGATGTCTAGGATTCTGTGTATGTTCTTACGTGGACCCTCCCAAATGGTGGTTTTCCTTTTGGTTCCCTTTTGAAGCCACAGCAAAGGAGTACCAACTCCAAACAAAGTCACACACACAAAGGTTTGTGAACGCCGCTTTACTACGAGATGCGAAAGTTGCAATTCTCACCCTGGCTCGACTCGACTTGACCTTTTTCGGTGTCCAAAAGTTGGGCCTTTCATTTGCACCTGAGGAATTTGAACCCCGGGGTTTTCAATCTAGATGGGGAAAAAGACCGGGTTGAATCACGGTAAACAGACAAGTTCGCAGGTTGTTGGTTCCTTTGGGTGCGACGAACGTCACGCTTTTCGTTGATTTTGCCACAGCAGTGAAGCCGTAGGTCCGGCGAGTCAGCTCGGTCAGCTCCAAATGGGTGTGTGCTGTCAGTTAGGGGGTGGCTTACAGGCATATCAAAAGGAAATCATTCATTTTGGGGCCCCCCGATGTTTACACTCTTTTGTGCCCGGAGAATCTTAAGATCGCGCTGGGAGAATATTAAGACTCTGTAAAACTTAGGGAGATCTTCGGATCTTTCCATGCGGACATGAGGAGTCGTGTTATTGCTCAGCTTCCCAGGCTACTGGACCGTTTCACCATTTGAAGCTTCCACATGTTGGTGCGAGGGGTTGGTATCCGCATGTTCGGTGAACTGCAGAGGGGCGGACCTGACTTAATTCACTTCTGTCACTTCCTGGACTTTCTACTTTTGGGAAGACCGTGTCAATGGCGAATTGTCCACCTTTCTCTCCAAGTACTTGCTTGTTGCTTTCCATGCCAACAAAGCACACCCATTTGGTGTTTTAACTGTAGTTTCCCCTACCTTTCGAGGATCTTGCTCTTTACTTGGATGTGCCTCGTGTCGTCGTTTCTCCAGGAGCGCAAGTACCCCCAGCGGTACAGCGGAGACTACTTCCGCGACACCTTGCCCAGCGACCTCTACGAGTTGGAACAGGCCTCCGCTTAGTGGCCTTGAATGTTCCGCCAACCAAGTTAGTATGTGGAGAAGGCCACCTTCAGTGGAGTTGACCGTGTCATTAGTCAGCAACCCAGGTCCTGGGTTACCCACTAACTTTAGTACTTTAGAGCCTCCGGCTCGGTCCGCCGACATTGGCGCGGTCGCCCTGGATGGCCAGCGCAAGCTTCAAAACTGGGTGAATTCTAACGACCTCACACAACCTCACCCCAAATGGTGGTTTATGTGGGGAATAGCCTTCCAAACCAAGTGAAATATCATAATTCACCCAGTTCAAAAGGTTGAAGAGTGGCTTTGGTGCTCGCCAGCCATTTGTGGGATCTAGCTCTGCCGCTCGGTTGCTGTCACGGAGGCGTGCACGGCGGACGTGGGTGGCGTGGGGTTGTTTGTGAATGGGGGCTTTGGGGTGGGGTTGAGTTGTGGTTGGGTGGTGGAACTGGGGTTCGGGTGTGGAGTTGTTGGCGAGAGTTGGGGCGGGGTTGAGTTGGGCTGGGTGGGGTTCAAGTGGAGTTGGAGGAGGAGGATTTGGAGCGCGGAATTTAGTTTTGTGCGTGGAGTTGGAGTGGACGGGAGTGGAAGTTGGGTTGGGGGTAGGGTTGGATTGGCGGGGGTGGATGGGTGATCCCCTACCAGACTCGCCATTCATGCAGAGCTAGAAAGACGAAGCGATTGCGTCGAAATGGCTCCAGAAAGCCGAAGGGCTGGAGGAGGCATGGTTGCTACCGGTCCCAAGCACGCAGCTGTAGAGCGCAAAGGTCCCATGGCCGAAGCAATGCATGTTCAGAGGCGCGGAAGCCGTGCGATCAGCAGGCCGGGGCGACCGCTTGGGAGATATGTTTTTCGTAGCAGCGGTAGCGGGTCTTCTCCGTGCGGTGTGTTGTTGGAGCCTTATGACCCATGGCTGGAAATCTGGTAGGCTGACTGCATCACCCAGAAGCTGGTGGTGCAGCAGGCGTCGGCGGCCAACAGCAAGCTGACGACGTTCGGGGTTTCTGCTGGCGCCGCCGCTGCTTCAGACATCTTCTGCATCAGGAGTTGGCCGGGTGATGGGCTTGGCAGTTTCTGGTCAGTTTGCAACGCGTTCCAAGCCATTTTTTCAGCCGCCCTATGGCAATCCCAAACACTTGCCCTTCATTCGAGTCCGGATTCAATATGCTGGGCGCGCCATTGCCGCTGCGGGCCACTGGGCCATGTTTTGCGCTGAGAAGTTTACTCAATTTACGCGGCTCACTCCCCATCACTCCCCCTTTTTCCCTTGTATCAGACCGTCTCAGTCTCAGGATGCAACCCACCATCTCCAACATCATCAGCACCTCCATCACCTCCTCATCATCATCAACGTCATTTTCTTTCGGGTTTTGGCCTTGACCTTTGACAGGTGGGGCTTTTGTCCCGGAGTGGGCCAACAACACGGGCACCGGCTTCATCGCCGTCCCCATGGTGATCTGGTGATGCCCGACCCGGTGCTGCTGGCGGCGGTTTCGTCGTGTTCCGAAGCGGTCTGGCCACGGCGCCCTCCTACCTGCAGCCCGGGCGGGCAGCGCTGCACATCACTTGCAAGTACCAGAAAGGCGACGTTGCGCTGTGCGCTGGGGCAAGCCCTCGGCTGTGTACATGGGTTGTCCCGACTGGCAAGAAGAAGAATTTCGCCAGCATGTGGGCCTTTCTTTCCTCTTGGCCAGCCGCGTGTTGGGCGGGGGTGATTGGGGTTGAGTTGGAGTTGTTGGTGAGTTGGGTTGGGTTGGAGTGGGGGTGTGGAGTTGCTGTGAAGGGGGTGGGTTTGGGGCGGGGAGGGTGGGGAATTGGAGAGCGTGGAGTTTTGAGTGGGGTGGAGCTGGCGTCATGGGGCTGAAGTAGAGACTTGAGGTGCGTTTGGTTGGGGTGAGGTTTGGGGGCGGGAAGGAGACTTAAAGTGTGTAGGGTGGGCTTTGGACGGGGTGGAACTGGGAGTGTGTTTTTTTTTGTGGGGTTGAAGTGTTGACTTAAAGCATGTTGGAGAGGGTGGAGTTGGGGGGCCGCGCGCGTGGGGTCGGCCTCGCAGTGCTCCAATTGAACCTGACCTTGCTGGGGTACGTCAGACAGCCTGGGCGCCAAAAGGAGTCCATCAGGTCTGCCAGCCGCACGACGCAAGAGCTCGGCAGCCAGGCGTCGCCGACGAAGCAAACCTGAACGGGCCTTTTGCCAGTACCTGCAATTCCCCCTCACTTCCCATCGAGAACGTAAAAACACGCTGATGTTCAAAGCTGACAACACCCGCCTCCTTGAATGTCTACAACGTGTCTCTAGCAGCCCCTCTGCAGTGCCCAAGCACTGTCCAAGTTCCCCGACCTGCTTTCCCCAAAGCGTTCCCTCAACGGCTCTGCCGAGTTCCACGGTCGCGCCAACCAAAAACACTGAGAACTCTGTAGTTTTCAACGTTTTGCCAAAAGGAGGTGAAGAACACTAAATTTTGCAACGTGTTCTGCAACAGGAGGCGGAGGACCCGAACTGGCAGGGGATTTGAGCCTGGAACCCCTGCTTTTTCCACACCCACTCCCAGAGACTACTTTTAGTAGAGCCTTATTAAATTGCCGCGCGGTATGTGGGGGGGGGTTGGGGGGGGGAGCGAACCCAAACCCTCTCTTAGGTATCCGGCACGCCGAACAATGTCGGCGGACAACAAGGCCAACTCCTTTACCGGGGTATATCATAGGCTACGATCACAGGAAGCGGCCTGCGACCCGCCACCGACCCCCCTAAACGGGTCTGTCCGTTGTTGTGGGTACCCTTTTGTTGTGGCTTAAAACGGGAAAAGCAAAAGGGCGGGGGCCCAAACCCTGAAAAGAAGGACGAGCTACCCAAATGGGTGTTAGGAACCAAGCACCTGGAACGGTCCCTATTCTTGAAAACCGCCTTGATCTTTGAAAGCATTGCCATGGTTTCATCGCACTCCCTGGTTGCATGGACCTTACGGTTTTTGCAAACAGTTTGATCAGTTTTTGGCAGTCCACTCAAAAACTTGGTGCGTGATTTACTTGCAACATTTCGGGAATTGGAAGCACAGCATGGGATAGATGATGCTCAAAGTCAGTGACCCCTCCAGCTCAGTGTTTCCCTTTAAACTTCAAACAAAGGGGTTCCTTTTTTTTAGACCCTCACATGCTCACCAGATTAACATGGAACCCAAAAACACCACTTCCATCTGTGGGGGGTCTTTGTTAAATTGTCCATTTTGTTAGGGCTCGAAAATGGCCTCCAGGTCTCCGCGCGAAGACATTCGATGGCATTGGGGTGTTGCGTTTCTTGGATGGCCCAAAGCTTTTCGGCGGATTTGTCTATACCCATGCTTTTTGGCTCAGTTGCCAGCAGTAAAACCATCATATTGTTGACCCTTCAAAAGGTTTCAGGACAAGGTATGATGTCAACCCCTGACTACAGTGGGTATTCTCACTTCCTGAGTTCATGAACTTTAAACTTTTTGGGAAGACCATTTTAGTGGTAAATATAAAGTTTGGACTTTTTCTGGGCCATCCACTCAGCAGGTGAGTATTTACTATGATCCACAAAACTGATATTTGGAGCAGGGGGTAGAAAGGGCATACCGTACCCCTTCGTTTGCGAGCTTGGGGTGGTTATGCTGCTCGGGGTATTGGTCTTGTTCGAGTGGGAGGTAAGCAGCTCGGTCTGAGCTACTCAGATGTTCAACCAAAGTCAAGTAAGGGGTTTATAACTACCATTGTTATTACTAGGGTAACTGGGGTTGGTCATGGGTTCCCTCAAGCCCCTAGTGATCTTACTTCTCGGACGTTGGCAACGAGATCCAAGTCCCGCTCCCTGAGATGATGGGCGTTAGCCGCTTTTTTGAGCCTGGACGCTTTGAGTGGAACACAAAAAGTTCAACGACGTTTTTGGCCAACCCCCGGGCCAAGTGAGGCTGGTGATGCTGGGGATGTTTCCCTTCGAAAACCCGCAGAAAACCAGCCCAAGCCCAGCCCTAGGAAAAACCCGGCCCTAGGAACACAAAAGCTCGACCCACTCAGCAACCGAGAAGTAGGGAGCCTTCAGCGGCCAGGCTGTTGTGGACGGCGATGTCTTCACCGTGCGGAAGCTCCTGCAGGCGTTTCCTCGCGCGTTGCACGGATGACTTTGGGTTCTTGGAGTAGTTCTTCTATGGAGGGGAGGTCAGTCGCAGTATTAACCCCTGAATATGGCTCACGCCCTGAGTTTCTGAACTTTTTGGGTCTGGACCATTTTAGCGGCACATAAACAGTTGGCCTTTTGTTGGCCAATCAGCTCTGGAAGTGAGAACATGACCTTAGTACTGTTTCGCGAAAGATGGACACAAACACGGATTGTTTCTTGGTTTAGTCACTTCCTTTGCTTACCCACAAAATAGGATACTAGGGAACCGCCCGAAAAGTGGTTTGGACATGAATCCGCACCTGAATGATGTCTACCAAAGGGCAATTATTTACAACCATCTTGGTAGAATCAAAAGTCAGCTGGATTTTAGGCATTTCTCAGCTGGGTTTTTGCAGCGATTTATTGAACTCCGTTGCCCACTGGCATAGTGTCACCCCTTTGGGGTGCCAGTTTGTGGGGTTGAACACCAGTTTGAGAAAAGCAACTGGACATTCCCGGACTTGACTCACGACTTCTTGTCCTTTTGCCCTGGATCTTCTTGCAGTTTTCCCTTCCCGAAACTTTTTGCAGGGTTGCTCCCTTTTTCTGAGTGGCTTTTGGATGAAACCAACAAACTAGGGTGGCGTTGGATTGCCAGCCCCGGGACGGACTTGCGACGAAGAGCATTGGGGATCTGATCACTTGATCACCCGAGTTTAATCTAGTACCAATATTTACTCACATTTACCCTCCAAATGGGTCAGTTTGTAAATATTACCTGTACATGGATTGTCTGGGTGTTATTGTTTGTTGTACTCGCGTGTTGATCAGTCAAGCCTCGAAGCTATGCAAGGGTGTGTGTTTTTTCTTGCATTTGTTTTCTTACTTGTGCTGTGTGAACCGTTTCGCTGACCCTTGTGTATAACACCACTCATATCCGGCATGAACTTTTTGAGGGTAGTTGTTTAAGGCTAGTTTCAGCAGACACAGGAAAGCAAGCATTGTTGGGATCCCCGTTTTGACATCTACCCCGCAACGCAGCCGTCTGGCATGCAGCTGGCAGCGTTCGCAGGCTGGAGTGAACCTGAATGCCCCCCTGGACAGCAACCACATGACGGCGCTGATGATTGCCTGCATGATGGGCAATTGGGACCGGACTCGACTCAGTGAGCTGCGTAAGCTAGCTGTCGTTTTGCCACTGGTCGGTTTGGAAAGGGCAAGGCCATGAACGTTGGTGTTGTGTTTGAATTGAAAGGGACCGGGCGGTGACAGGTCAATCTGGGCGATTTGCTGGGGCTGTAAAAGAGGCCACTGTCAAAATGCCCAATTTTGGCTGTCTGGGGCTCGGTGTTCCGCGGGGGGGTGGGGGACTGAGCCTTAGGACCCCTTCTTGATTTGACCTTGTTGAGGGGCACGAAAGCAACAGGGTCCCCTTGCACTGGATTCAATGATGCTTGCGATAATCCGCCACTATTTCTGAAGAATGGACTGCGATACCAAGCTAGGCATGGCTTGTATGAAAGAGGGTCGTCTTCTTGGCGCACTGAATCCCAGGCAAATCAGCAAGGAACCAAACATGAGGCCCTCAAAAATGAGATTCCTCTCAATCCAATGTTCTTTTGGGTCCCTGGCAATTAATCGAGGGAGCAAACCCCAATAATATACAATATATATATATGCATATATATATATGAATCACCCATGTCCAGAACCTGTGTTAGTTCTTCATCGAATAAACACAGCCCTGCCTTTCAAGAGGGTTTGGGGGCAGCCCTTGTTGTTTTTCTCATTTGCCCAATGCGAATCGACCTTTTAACCTGATGGTTCCCTGATTTTTAGTCACTGCCCCAAAGGTCAGCCTGGAATTTCTGAGTCCCTTGGGCAACTGAGATGGGTGTGGGTCAAAATTAAACTACTAGGGGATCGCAGGTTTTAGTCCATGTGTCCATTTACTAAGGTTCCATTTTGGGTACCGATTTTTAACCCACAGCCAGATTTGGGTTGGTTTGGTTTTTGCCAGGATCTTATCCAGTTGCTGGTCGAGGATTTCGATGCTGATCTGGACGGCCCGCTCTCTAGAGCAGGCGCTAAGCAAGAAGTGCCGATCTGGAGTGGCACCCATGTTTGGGTCCTTCCCGAGACTCTTTTCTCAGGGAAGACAGAACATAGAACATAACCAGAACACTTGGATACTCAGCCAAGTTCGTAAGTTGTTCTCCACCTGTTTTGTACGTTTGTCTTCACCTGCGTAATAACACACTTAGCTCCACTTGCGGAGGACTTACAAGCAGCTTCTGACAAAAGCTAGATTACCAACAACTTACTACCCAAGCATAGTATTTTCGGCGTGCCCCAGATGGCCAAGATTTCCGGGGCCAATCGAAAAGCCGTTGTATCAGGGCTGGTCGTTGGATCTGTAGACCCTTACGTGGGGACCTGAGAATCTTCGTTCGGTTTTTTCGCGCACGCACATTTTACTGGGTGGAGAGATCTCCGGAGTTGAAATGGGTGCGTCTTTTCTCAGGGGACCCCCCTATGGTGGTTTTCAATTTGGAGTCCGTTTGAAACCACAAGAATCAGGGGTACCTTCAAAAAATGCAGACCCATACCGTGTTGAGCTGCTTTAGGTATCTCAAGTGGCCTTTGATGACATTGGGTCCACTCACCAAAATACCATGAGGAAATTGGGAGGGGGGTTTACTCTCGAAATTCCCATGTCTCTTGAGGACACAAAGCATATTGAGAGCTTCCAGCAAATAGCACACGCCAATTTGACTTTGTTCCTTGGAGTCCGCAATCCCTTCTAGGTCCCCCAGTAGTGCACTTTTACCAAGTCTTTTCTTGGGGAGGGTTCCCCTACTAAAAAGATTACGGAAAAAGAACCCTACTGGAGGACCCAGTTTAGGGTTCCCTTTTTAGAGTTTCAATTGGGCTAAGCCTGGCGTTTTATCCAAAACCCTTCTATGGTTTAGGGTATATTGACTAAATCTGCAACATAATCCCAACATCGTGTTTTCTGTGTACTGGAGTCCGCAACCGATTGAAGTTGCGGCTGTCTCTTGTCGTAAAAATCCGATCGAGGGAAGCTCCAGGAGCTTCCAAGCAACCAATCCAAGCGGAGGCAAGGGACACCACAAGAAGAAGGTACCCCTCTTTCGATGCATCGATGTCCTACTCAGAGAACATGCGGAAATAGAAGCTGAAAGGAAGTCAACCTAAGTGCTTTTTTTTTTGGGCAGGGGCACGCAGCTGTTTGGTCCCCCTCCAAGTTCCATCTTGACAAATGTCGACCGCCGTATTGATGGTCCAGCCGGATTTGGGTGGAGTTTTCCGCCAGCAAGCGTCAAGGATCTTCTCAATGGATCAACCATGCCCTAGGGTTCAACGGAATGAAAAGAATGGCCTTTGGACCCCATGCAGATGACCAGCCTGAACGGGTAAAACACTGGTGGCTGTATGTCCCCCTATTGTTTTCATGATGGCCTGCCTGAATCCCAGAGTGGGGAAACGATCGCAATCTTGACAATGGCGGTTTGAATCCCCTGGTATATGAACCCGACCATTGTTTGAATGCCTGAATTTCAGTGCATGATTTAAATGGCCTGCCCGAGCTCGGTCCAAGCCCAGCCGGAAACTCAAGATCCAGTCCGTCAGGCCTGCGAGCCATCGACTATGCTGGCTATGAGGCCGGGCGTGATCCGGGCACCTTGTTGATTTTTTTGGGGGGGGGCCTGGAGACGTCAACAAAAGCAAAAGCAAAACAAGTAGCAGGAAGTACATACTAAGGGTAAATAAGCAAACTATGGGAGTGAAGCCAGGAATTGGTCTTCAAGGAAACCACCAGTTGGATGGTTTCATAGGGCTCCTTCCATTTCTCCTTCCCCTATCGCACCAGCCAGAGAACGTGATTCCACTTTTGCTCAGAGAGGAGCAACATGTGCCATGTGCCATGTGCAGGGCTTCAGGTTCCCGAGCGAGCACCCCATCTGCGCCTTGGATTAGACGCGCGTCTTTTCGGCCGCGGCCGTCCGAATTTGGACGTGAGCTCGCGCTTCTTCTCCTCACTCCCTGTGGACTTTAGTCACTTTTTGGCAAGATCATGTGAGTGGTAAACAAGAAGTTGGTTACTTGTTTTGGCCAATCCACGCAGGAAGTGAGTTCATTGTTCTCATTGTTTAGACCTCACATGTTTGCTGTTTGATAACGTGTATTATTATTTATTATTATTATTATTGATTATTGTTATTAAGTATTATTAATTATTATTATTGGTATTAATTGTGGTTATTAATTATTATTAATTATTATTATTAATTAATTATTATTATTTATTACTATTATTATTGTTATTATTATTATTATTATTATTTATTATTATTAATTATGTTTATTAATTATTATTATTATCATTATTATTATTATCATTATCATTATTATTATTAGTATTATTATTATTACTATTATTATTCTTATTATTATTACTATTATTATTATTATTATTATTACTGCTACTATTACTATTAGTATTATTCAATTCTATTTTATGTTTAGGATGTCGCTTGATTGTTTGTTGCTGACCTTGTGTGCTTAGAACTGACTCTGCGTTTCTTGTCAGACCTCACGTTTTGGTGTGATCTATTTCACGAGGACAGCTAGGCAACCCCTGACACTTCATCCAAAACCTATTCGGCTGTGAGTCGAAGCCTGGGACAATGGTCGAAAACAAAAATGTCCCGAATCACGGACGGGCAACCAAACGGGTGGTTTCCTGCTGGTTTCCCGTTAAAATACAACCACACATTTTTGGGATGCCCTGGAAGAAAGATACACCCATCTGGATCCCAAGGTTCTACGCGCGTCTCAAACAAAAAGGTCCATCCGGAAATCGTGCAAGACGCACGGCCGTGTGTTTGCCGTTCACATGTGTACGGACCGTGCGGATCTGCGCCAACGCTCTGAAACTTGTTTTCTTCCGAAGGCAAGAAAGGAATGCCGCAATGATGCGCACCCGTCGGGCAATATGGTAGAATGCGACCCTTGGCATTCCACCATGTGGTAGTTCACTAAGGCACCACGGAAACAGGGCAAAAGGCAATAAGGCAATAGGTCTGTGTACATGAGACAAAAAGCAATATACCTGTTTGGTTGTTCTTTTCAAAGTAAGGGTAACAATGTGTGTCTTCTTTTGGTTTCCCTTTCAGCACCGAACAAAATGGGTTCACCATTGTGAAAAACAAAAAACATCCCCTTGTCTTCTGCATGTTCGATCCGAGGCGAGTATTTGAAGAGCAAGGGCTCGCAGCACACTTGGTGGGGAGCTTGCTGCGCAGGCCGGCGTCTCCCGCACAGGGGAGACTTTTTGGGGACTGCCCTGCAGCAAGTGCCCTCCCCCAGACGATTCCATGGGAGCTCCCAGGACCCCTTTGGAAGACTTGGTTCCATTTTCTGGGAGCTTCCATGTTAGCCTGAGGGAGTGTAAACCAACCACAGATTTATGGGAAACCGCGGCACATTCGAGGATTGCCTTGTTTCCTTACTTGCAAGATGTAGGGCGCAAGACAGGTTCGAATTGCAGGTCCAAGGAGAGACAAGCAAGAAAGTGGCTTTTCAGTTGGTTTGCCGCAGGATTTGGGTATATATGTCTTGGCTATGTACCTTGGGTACGTTCTCCTGCCGGAGCCGAATCATAGATTTGCACCTTTGGGTTCTCCGCCAGCCACAATCAGAAGCCGGGTAAGTGAGATTTCGACGGGGACAACCCCATTCATAGATTTGCACTTTTGTTTCTTGACTCAACGCTAGGAAGAGTCTTAAGTATCGGCGGTTTTTTGGGAGGCATGTGCAAACATGTCCAGCTACAGGTTGTCCAGACGTTCGCAGACCTTGACGAACTGGGTTCTCCAGAGCATCAACCGTAGCTTTTGATTCTTTTGTGGGCGGTGTGAAAGGGAAGCTAACAGGAAGCAAGCGCCTTGAGGGGTCCCCAATTCTGAGAAGCTCCCATATTGACTGCCTTGGACCTTTTGGGTTTCGTGTTTGAATTTAGGCTTTTCTACTTGTCTCCGTTTTTTGGTCGGTTTTGAACGGAAAGCAAAAGGACAACCACCATTCCAGGAGCTTGGAAGGCCATTTGAGCTAAGTTATCTTTGGTCTCTTTGGCCGTGCTTTTTCCGATCCTTCCACCCACGATTCGGGCAGCGGCAGGTGATTTCAACCGCGTCAAGGAGTATGTCGACAATGGCCAGGCACCTGTGTAGATGTCTAGGGGTCACTTCCCCATTCTTTCCAGGGATCCTGCTTTCTAGAAAACCACCAAAGCCATTGGGAAATGGCTGGTTTTTGAAAAGAACGGTGGCTGAAAAGAATGGGGAATCAACCCCTAGAAGATGACGATTCTTCCCCGGCATCTCTTTTGGTGAACAACCGCTATTGATTGGATTAGGGGTCTCGATTGTTTTCCTGGGGTTCTTGGTACCTTGTAAGGATATACTTCGAGGGATCGACATGGCTCCAAGTACATGCCTTCTAAGGATGCACTGTTTGGAAACACGTGACTTGCATCAATGCAATGTGCTGCCGTTTTGCGGACGCTGACTGACATGTGAGCCACCATGTACACCTTCAGAGCATAAAATCGATCGTCTTCCCAAAAAATCGTGGCAGTTTGTATCGCCGGAGGATATTAGAGTGTCTCCAAATTGGGGGAACCCCCAAAATGGGTGATTACCACTTACAGAGAGAAACCCCAAAAGTAAGTGTCGGGAAATCTCTAGTTGCATTTGTTTTTTCAACCGTAAGAAGGGGATCTGAGCCTCACAACCAAGAAACACGTGGAACCGGAGATGTGGATCCTGCCTCAAGGGTTTTTTGTTCCCTAAGGAGGACGGACTTCGTGGGGTGAAGAGGTTTCCTTTTATTTTGCTTAAGAACATTTGTTTAATTTCCCTTGTTGGTTTTAAAGGGAATCTATCACTACTGCAAGTTTTTGTTTGTTTTTTTTTCCCAGGGGTCTTAACCAAATGGAAGTTTCCCTCGACGTTTTTGGGCATTTCCCTCGTTTGATTTGAGCCCAAAGGTTCCCAAGCGGTACCGTATGTACAGAATGTGGGCACCAGAGAGGCGCCTTGTGCCTGGGAGGTATTGTTGCAACACATGTTTTTTGGGGGGTGGTGTCCTTTTGGCTTTCATTTTCCGTACAAACCAAACACAAAAGCGGTACCCAAGGTTGAAATCATGGTTGAAACCAGAAGGTTGGTTGATAGCTACCAGGGGAATCGAATCATTCCAGGGCTTCTGAACGGTGGTGCAGGGAGTTTTATTTATTTATTGATTTGTTTATTTATTTGGGCACAAGACGTACGGCATGAGTTCGTGTCGTCAGTTCCCATCCTGCCTTGAGGGTCAAGACGGGTTCCTGGAGTCTCCACGACCCTTGAAAAATGGGGTCATTACCCAAAATTGTGGGGTCATTGGCCCAGTTTTTAAGGGTCATGGAGACTCCAGGTTGAAGTTTTTGGGACCTGGGCTGACACGGGCAGGATGTGGATGAGATCAATCCCGTCCTTTGGAACGGCAACGGGGCGTGAGCCTGAACGCGCCGATGCGATGGGTTTTAGGGTCGTCTGAGGGATGGATGGGGCAACCAGGAAACCGCCTCTTTTCCTGCATTTGCTTAAGACTTGTTTCTTTTTATTATTTTATTTCCCCCTGTTGGTTTTAATAGGAATCAATCACTACTGGAAATACTTTTATTTTTTCCAGGGGGCTTAAGCAAATGGAAGTTTTGTTGATTGTTTTTGGGGCTGAGTAGAAGGGCAAAGGACAATCTGTTCGGCTTGGGATGCCCCTCAGCTGCATGTCGAGTGGTCTTGGGGACACAACACAAATAGTCCCCACAGTAGGCCCCGAAAAGGGCACCAAGCCTCAAGAAAGAGCCACCCAAAAGAGGCACCGCGTGCCACAGCCACTACACCATGCGGGCAAAGGGACAGATGGATATGGGTCAAAATTAAACCACCAGGGGAAAGCAGGTCTTAATCCATGTAACCACTTACAGGGTTCACAGCCACATGTGAATTCCATCAATGTGTTGTAGCATCTTAGTTCACTTAGGTGGCAGCGTCAGAATCAATCTTAGATAGCGTGAATCCTCAGTTCCCATTCCAAGGTTCCCTTCGCGTTTGCCGGGGATTTTTTTCCGACACGTCTACATGTAGCTGGTGTAGTTTGTTTCAATTCCTTGGAACTTTGGGAAGACCGATCCGCAGAATAAACTTCCATTTAGCTTAAGGATTGATATATATATAGTATGTTCTATTTCCCCGTGTTGGTTTTGCAGGGAATCTATCACTACTGCAGAAAGTATTCTGTTTTCCAGGGGACTTAAAGCAAACGGAGGCTCGTCAAGGAGCCTTCAGAGTTGCAGTGTTCACGGCTAGCCTGGTGTCTCCCTCTGACCCTTAAATCGGCTCATGACTCTTACCTTGGTGGCTTCCAGCCATCCCCCTAGCCTTTTAGCTTTTTAGTGTTTGGTTGTGGTTTCCATTTAACCCACCAAAAGTTAAACTTTTAGCGGGGGATCGGAAAACGGGCAGCCCAGTTACTTTGAGGTACATGACCTATGCTTCGCCTGAGTTTGCATTGCTCAGGTCTTCATTGCGAAGGACGTGAACATCGGGTGGCCGAGGGCGAAAGGGGAAAGCTCAAGTTGCCCAGCAAGACTTCGGGGTGTTCTTCGGAGGATAACCCGTTTTTTGGGAACCCCAATTAGGGGGGGATCCCCTGAGAAAATAGGAGGGTCCCCTTTTTTGTTCGATTTATAGGAAACCCCAATTTGGGGGAGGGATCCCCTGAACAAATACACACCCACATGTGGCGTTTCACGGCGAGGTTCGGTCTTTGTCGCGACGGGTCCCAAGGCCCCGTTTTGGACCGTTGGTTGTTTACGAGTAGCATTAAACCTACAGAAGGCCATCGACGTTTTGCTCGTTCAGACACAGGGGGCGCCCCCAGTTTTCAAGCAACCCGGCTTTAAAGGGCATGTCCAGTTCCAGGGGGCTTGCGGCTTGTTGCTGTGATGTTTCTACTTCTTTTCTCGGGTTTGCGAGCGACCCTCCCGCCTTGCCTTAACGCAGCAGGGCGTACCTTTTAGAGAACTCCAGAAACAATACCTTTCAGCTGTCTCGGCGCCGTGGGGTTCGGATGACTATGGGACGCACAGTGTTTTGTTTTTGAATTCCATGCCGGATTGACTCCCTTGGGTGGTTTAGCTTTTGCTCATCAGCGCAGGCTAATTGACATGACATATCAAAAGCTCCAAGCACCCTCAAGGATAGGTTTTCGGATTTTGAAAGGGATGCTATGGGTGTGAAGGTGAGGCTGTGTCACGTTGCAAACGGAGGCTTAGTGGGGTGTCACATAGGGTCAGTCACTCCAGCCGCTTCAAGAAGTCCGGCACGGCAGGAGTTTGGGCACAACAGCATCGCCCAGTACTTGCTCACCAAGGGCGCAACTGTTGTGGCGGGGAAGCCTGGGGCTTTTTGAGCTAGCTGACTTGGCAAGCTTTGAGTTTTGTTGTCGGCTGGTCCGGGCTCGTTGTTTTGTTTGTTTCCGGTGGGGAAAGTCAGAAAGTGTGTTTCCTGATGACCTATCACTTCTGGCGTAAAGGGGCCAGTTGGTTGGGCCTTGGGCCAGTCAGAAAGTGGAACCCTGGATTTGGGTATTTGTGAGGGGGTTCCAGAAATCGAAGCACCAAGCAACGGGTTTACTATTTGTGAACCATCCCAGAACCAACCACACACGGGGCGAGCGACTAGGTCATGTTGCTGCTATGGACAGGGTTTGTGGGTTCGTACAAGGTGGCACGTCTTTGGTGTTACAAAGGTCCTCTGACTCCCTAAGCTCCTGGACTCTTTAGTAGAAAACAGCACGAACGATTGGACTTCTCACTCCCTGAGTTCCTGGACTTTAACCTTTTTGGGAAGACCATTTTAGTGGGAAACAGAAAGTTTGAACTTTCTTTGGCCCATCAACTCAGGAAGTGAGACTTGGTTCTTCCCGATTCCACTCAGGAACTTCGGCCGCCCTTTTTTTTCTGGCCATGTCTCAGTTTTATGTGGGCGGGGGAGGGAGTGTGCGATGAGAAACGGGCGCTGCATGTGTTGTTTGTTCCTAGGGAATGTGGAGGAATGAGGACGAATAAACCATTTACTGATGGGACACCCTAGGTTTAACTAGTGGTCTTTCCAAGCACGAGTAAGTCTTTGGTTCGATCGAACTTACATTTCACCCCAGAACATGGCACAGATTCTTCTGCAAAGGTTTTCGGACCCCGTTTCTTTGGATGTCCAACCCACTTAGTGGGTTAATCCAAGGTAAGGGCACCAACCCCAGTTGACCTAATTACCACAACCCGCTTACCGGACGTTGGCTGGACATCCAAGTGCAGGAGCCGCTCAAGTTTCCCGCCCCCCCCGGTTCAGTTGTCACCTTTAAAGCATTGGTTGGGCGAATACAGCCACCATAGCCACCCTTTGTTTACCATTCAGGAGTAGCTCATCATCTAATTTGGGTCCCAAGGTCATTCTTTTCACATCGGTTGAAGCCTAGGACCCTTCGGTTTCAGCAACCACCTTCGGAGAATCAACAGATGAAGCGGAACCCCTGCCAAAGGTTGGACTTTCGGAGTTTGGTTTGAAGGGGCCCCCGCATGTTGATCCCCAAAGTTGAGAAACGACTCAGGTGCCATTTGGGGACGCGTAGAGGTATGAGCAAGACTCCCCGAAGGTCGGGGATTTGAAAATGCCTCAATCTTTCTTGGCGCTCTCTGGCCAGCCCCGGCTGTTTGGTTATTATATGGTTTAGTGGGGGGTTTCCATTTTTTGGATCACCTTTAAAGTTTTTAACTTGTAGCACGGGATCTGAGGACAGCCCAGAATAAACATGGCGTCAGAAAAAGAAAACACAAGACGTAAACCAAAAATAAGCGTGGACCCTTTTCAGGGCCAGAGGGAGACTCCAAGGGACCCTTTCGGAACCCGAAGAGTGTAAGTTTTTCACCACTTGGAGAGAAGTAGAACCCGGCCCAGGGATTCGAAGCGGGTTCCCTAGGGTTCAAATCATCATTGAGACAGTGGGGGGACCTAAGGATTATCATCCAGATTCTTGATGTACCCAATGTCCCTAAGATTCAGTTGCCACCATCAAAAACCATGGGGGGGTTCATAGTTTCACCACCTTTGTTTACCTGAGGATTGTCATCCTCCAAATTGGGTCCTTCACATGTCACCCCCTTTGTTTACCTAAGGATTGTTATATTGGGTCCAAATTAAGTGCTTCCCATTCATTATTTTAATGGGTTTTTAAGGAGGGTGCAAGGCGGGGGGCAATTTGAAACCCCCAGGATTCCCTAGCTTTTCCTAGAGCTCCTTAGCAAACCCCAGCACTCCCTCCCCAAGGACCCCTAAAGGCCCTAAAAGTATGTTCATGGCTTCCGTTTCTTTAAGAATATCTTTTGTTTTCCCCTGTTGGCTTTAAGAGGAATCGATTTCATTACTGGACATTGTTGTTTATTTTTTCCAGGGGGCGAACAAGCACATGGAAGTTTTGGGGCAACCCCTCCCACCACAAAAACATGGCTTGGTGCACCGTTGCCTCTTTTGGACTACTTTCCTTTGGAAATGGCGCTGAACACATTTGCCGCGTCTCCCGAGATCCGGAACTGCCACACCATCGACACACACGAGATGAAGTGGTCCATCGGAAGAGGCGACGCCTTCTTCTACAAGGCCGGGGCCGAGGTCGGCCGGGGATGGTCGGTGGTGGGATGGCTGCTAGAGGTCGGCCCTGTGGTTTCTTGGTTGGATGGCTACTAGGTCCCCCGGCCAGGTGGCCTTTCACCCTGTTTTGGGTCGGCCCTGTGGTTTTTGGGTTGGATGGCCATTTTGTTTGTTTCTGGGTCCGAATGAAAGTGGGCTGGCATTTTGTAGAGGTAGGTCTGTGGTTTTTTGGTTAGATGGCCATTGATTTTTTTCTGGGTCCGAATGACAGGGATGGCGGACGGTCGGGTGGTCAGTGGTTGGATGGCCGGCTTTTTGTTTTTCCTTTCTTTCATTTTCTGGGGTGAGAATGAAAGTGGCTAGGTCCCCCAGTAGTGCCCTTTTACCCTTCCCTTCTACCCTTCTGTGGGGGGCGAAGGTCGATCGGCCCAGCTAGGTGCCCGCCCTTTCTCACCCGTTTCTTTTTTGGGGGGAGGGTTCCCTACTAAAAGAGACGTCCTGAAAAAAGGTGGTACCAAATTATTCTATCCTCTCAAATCTGCAGGACCTTGATTGTTTGTTTCTGGGTCCGAATGAAAATGGGTTGGCATGTTGGAGGTCCTCATTTAAAGATGGCCTTTGGGACCTGGCGAGTGCCTGGAGTCTCCATGACCCTGAGAAAAAGTAGGGTCATTACCCAAAATAATGGTTGGTCATTGACCCATTTCTAGAGGGTCAGAAGGAGACTCCAGGTTGCATTTTTGCAGAGGTTCACAAATTTGAGTACTTACCGAAATGGACACATATCTACGCGGATGGCCCACAAGAAACGCCTGGGAACCAGGAGATGTCACTTGGTACCACTCACTCCGCGAGTTCCTGGACGTTTTTGGAGAAGACCGTTTAAATCGTCCATTTGCTTAAGGATATTTTGCCCTTGTTGGTTTTAAAAGGAATTTGTCACTATTGGACATATCATTTTTCCAGGGGTCTTAACCAAATGGAAGTACTGAGAAACCACACATTGTGTTTTTCTGCTTATCCACTTAGAAAGTGGGACCAGGTGACCATTTAGCCAACAAGCTTTGACCTAGGCATCAACTCGAGGGTAACTTGGTAGCCAAGGTGCGCGATGGCCGCCCTTTTAACCTTCACTTTTGTGTGTTCTGTTCTTTTTTCTAGTCTTGTTTTATTTGTGTTTGCTTCTGTTTGTTTGTTTTTTGACTCTTTTTTCCGGTTTTGTTTTTGGAGGGGTGTGTGTGTGTGTTAAAACAAATTTCGGGCGCTGAACAAAAGCAAGGCTTTTGCTGCCATACCTAAAGGTTGGACAGTAACCTTCCAACATAAGGCCAGGTGGTACCTCGAAGAGGTTCGGTATACTTCCATTTGCTTAAGTTCTTGTTTTTTTCCTTGTTGGTTTTAAAGGGAATCGATCAGTACTGGAAATCTATGTGTTTTTTTCCATGCAGGGCTTAAGCAAATGGAAGTTATTTTCTTTCTCGGAGAGTCTTTCAAGCTGGGAACCAGAGCTTGGGCCCAGCAGAACGCCATGCCAGAGGTCGCCCAGCGGCCCAGTTGCAACCAGTGGATTCCGCCGGGTTTCTCCTTTTTTGGGGAAGGGTTCCGCTGTAAAAAACTCAAGCAGCCCAAAAAAAGGAGGCCCCTTTTTCCCCACCACTGGGCATGTGAGAAAGGGGTCGCGCTCTCAATGAAAGGGATCTGATTGTTCTTGCAGCCAAAAGGTCAGAATTTACGGAATATAGCTTAAGGTGCTTGAAACGATGGAAAACGATAGGGGACTCAAAAACGATACCTTGGTCTTATAGACCAGACGCCGGAAAACGATAGGGGACTCTCTAAATTCAAACGTACTTACCGTGAACACCAAATCTTGACGAAACTTCTGGCAACATGGCCTCTTCATGTTTTCCCCAGCCATCGGGTTCTGTGTTTGTTCCAGGGTGTTCAATCAGCTCACCACCGAAGTTTGACTTGCTGCAATTGTTCATTGGGTGCCTCCCCCATCTTTGACAGCTGGTAAGCTAGATTCTCACATTTTGTCATGACCCCCTCAATTTTGGGTACCCGGAGTCTCCATGACCCGTCAAAAATGAAAAACAAAAAGCAAACATTCCTTCGTCAAACATGTGGCCAGAAAAGCCCAATTGTCTAAGAGTCAGAAGGAGACTAGGTCCCCCAGTAGTGCCCTTTTACCAAATCTTTTTTGCGGGAGGGTTCCCCTACTAAAATACAGAAAACAAGTTGGCACCCTTATTCTAACCTCTCTACTGGAGGACCTAGGAGAGGAGCAACACCATGTTATACGGGTGGAGAGCCAGAAAGCGATTTTTTGTACCTGCAGGGGCTGGGTCTGGATCGTGCTGGTGCAGGCAGGATCAACCCACTTTAACACTTCCGGCGTTCGTGGACTTAAGTGTTGTTTTGCACCATCACTTTAGTGGCAAATAAAACGCTCAGACTTTTTTGTTGGCCAATCCGCTCAGGAAGTGAGCCATTGAACGAATGCTAGTTAGATCATGACAATCCTTGTGTAAATTGGTTTAATGGTGGTTCAAATCCCAGATTTATTTTCCCCGGTTTGTCTAAGGGGAATCTAAGCAATCTATGACTACTGGACATAGTGTGCTCTCTTCTTGTTTCCAGAGGACGTATTCGCAAATGGAGCCAACTTTGGATTTCCGTGCTTCACTCCTGTTTGTTGTTCACCCAGCGCTTGTAGAACAGTTACTTAAAATATCCCTCTAAACCAGCAACCAGCAAAGACTCGTTGCGGTCCAGGGGCCAGAGATTCAGGTTGACTGGGATCTTCCAGCTGAAACCAAAGGTAATTCTTGGATGGTTGCCCACACCGTTTCGCACCTAAGAAACCCCGGAAGGATCCGATGTCCATGTAAATACCAACCAGCAAAGGTTGTTCATGATTCAAAGTGGTGCAGGATTTCGGCCATTCACAGTATCAAAGACCAGCGTAAACACCCGACCTGGGGAAGTGACCAATACCCGGGCCCCCAGTGACCTGAAGATACTGGGGAAGATCGGCGTTGAAGATCACTCACTGACCTGGGCCCCCAGTGAAATGGACGCCTCTGGTTTTGCCTTTGACACAAAAAGCTGGTACAAGGCAGACAAAAAAAAGGGGTCCAGAGGGTTTTTGGACTTTAGCTACTTCTTGGGTCTGGAGCATTTTGGTGCAGAACAAGCATCGTGACCTGACCTGTTGCCAATCTACTCAAGTGAGGTGTGACCTTCTGCAGACATGCACATGCTGCACATCGCGTAGACCGACTGCATTGATGTTGAAGGTGACGTAAAACCAACTCAAACATGGAAGTGCTGGGATGTTTTTGGAAGGACCACTTTCCTCCTGCCTATGGGGCGCCTGGTGGAGCAGTTTTTGTGGTGTTTTTCGAGGATACTGTTACAACAAATCCATGGCCCTGGTTTGGCCTTTCCATGTCCCTGGTTGGTATGCCAATCTGGTCAACAGAAAAAGGGCATGGGGATAATGTCTTGAACATCTGAAGGTTTTACCCTGCAAAACCTAACCTGGATAGCTGGCGATCCAGCTTCTGGAAATACATGGCTACACGTTTCAGGTATTGGGGGCCCCATTTTTCCACGGAGACATGACCACCATGGGGTCCTGACCACTGTCCTATGACAAACCACCCTTTTTTGGGAGCTGTTTGAGGCAGGGCCGCGCTCGATTTTCTACACGACGTCTGCGCTTTCGCCTCGCGCAGGCGTTATTGACACCGCCTACATTCCAGAATGGGAGTCCGGCGCTTGGACTCGCAGGGTCTTCGGGGTGTCCCTAGGTGAGATGTGGGGCATCAGACCACTTTTGGAGGGGAACCCCCCCATATCAATAAACTGGGGTTGATTGATATTGGGTCAACATCAAGTTATATATATATATATATACACATGTTTTTTGGAGTTGTTGTTTTGGGAGGGGGGGTTCTAAAGGATGTGAACATGTTGGATTGGTGGCTCGGGGATTTGAACCCTTTGTACAGGATTGCGGATACACGGATACACCCGCCTCACCTCCGCGCCAAGAATCCAAATCACGAATTGGGTGTAGGGTCCCCCGACATGGCGGTGTTCCTCGTGGTTTCCCGGTGGTTTCTCCAAAAGAGGGCGTGCCAACCCCCCCCCCCCCCGCCCAAAATTTGAAGGCACCCAAGAGGCAAGCGAAACGGAGGTACCAAGAAACCATCAGCAAAGAACCTACGAGTCGCCAGCGACGTTTTGGCCACTCCCAGAAAATACCTGGTTTTCCTTGTACCTTCTGAGAATGGGGGCCAAACAAGGGGTCATTGTACATCCGTAGATGCCGCAATTGTTGAACTTTGGCAAAGTAGAAGGGATGACTAAGCCCAGGTGGGGGAATTTTGCCGTGTACTTTCACCCAACACTCTGTGTGGGGATGCGTCAAAACAAGGGGACACGCAAAGCTTTGGTTTTCCTTTTGATTTGCCAAGGAGTACCCACAGAAAGCACATCGCTTTGCCAAGGAGCTAGAGCGAGGACAGCGAGGGATGGTGCGAAGCAGTGTGAGAGCCACAGTGCAATCAAGTCGAAGGAGTTTTATCCATGCTCCCCCGAGCCATAGTAGCTTTTTTCCAGATGTTCATCACTACAAATCTGCGAAACCAGATCCAGGAAAGTCTCCGGGAAGTTATGAAAGCAGCGAAAATAGTCCATGCCGTTGAGATTCTCTGGACGTTTCTTAGAACAAGGGCATCAGTTTGTGGAAAGGAGCCAGCGATTCGGACCGTATGCGTCTCACGTTCATGATTCAGCGCGGGAAGGAGTATAAAAGCCGCTCGGCATTGAGCTACGAGATTTGTGAGGCCGTTTTGGAGGGGCCGAAGGGACATCTTCAAACACACCCATTTGGGGAGGGTGCATATCCCGTCCACAGTTCGGGTCTTCTTTCAAAAGCCAAGGACTTTCGAAATAAAAGCGGCCTGGAAGCATCCAATACTCTTAGACTTAGAGTTTAGAGAGCGTTTTCTATGTTTTTGTGTTTTTAGTTGGTTGGTTCTATCCATTTTTGTGGGCTGCAGAGGACACGTTAAGCGGTGCGT